AAATTGAGAAAACGGAAAACAAATGTCTGGCACTTTCATTGCGTCAGACATCATGGAGGGTCTACTTAGGGGAGTTGGAAAACCCTCATTTCAAACCTATCATGTACATTGGCTCCATGATTCTGAGGGAACTAATGGCATATAAACCAATTATTGTTCACCAGCTACCATGACACTGTATCTCCCTGCGTTGCTTCACTACCTTGTGGATCAGACCTTTAGATCGAAGGCTCTTGGTATGGCCCCCTAAGAAAACTCACCTACTTCGGTTTGGGAATCCGGGTAGTATCATACCCCAAACACATACCAAGTGACTTGTGTGATGCGTATGTATTCGATACCCCTTTTTGTACCAACATTTATATGTTCGAATAAATAAATAATTCGTTCGTTACACCTAAAATGTTAATATTCATGACAGTGATTATTAGTGATTTGTGCATCTACCAGTTCAACTTCCCATGTGGATTAACATATATAGGCCGTAGCCAGTGTTTACTTTCAAATCGAATACTAGAACATATTCCAAGATGGTTTCACAAAAGATGAATGGAATGCATTTCAAATCTTCATTCTTAAATATTTTAACCATTACAATCACTTCACTAATCTATAAATAGACTTAAAAGTTTAATTATAGAAATCGTTCAAATCTATCAAGATCCCTTCGTAACTAAGATGTTGAAACGGGAGAAATCTCTTGTTATTCATTAAATGAACAATGAATAGCATAGATACAAAAGAAATACATCCCATTCTTATTCTTACCATGACGTAAAATTGTTATTATTGTAATATTTTATTTCTATTATGAAAATCTCTTTTGATCTCTAGAATTATCTCTCATATCTTCTTGACTGGAAGTACTGGGCGATCGTTTCGTCCTAGTATGAAACACCTCATCGGTGCGTATTCATGATCCCGTTCGCGAGATTCCAACTGAAGATATATTGGTCTCTTGTATTCAAATACTTAACCTGTAGGCTACTAAGTTGACATCCAATAGTGTTATTGTTTAACTTAAACCTATTCCGTGTTTACAATGTTGAATAGTGGCGGAATTTTGCACATGAGATCATTAGGTTCCATTAAAGTCGTATTCAGTTACATCTATCATGAATATCAAGAAGATAAGTAGTGTAGTGAACAAGAACACTAATGAGGACAGTCAAATATATTTTAATATTACATTACAAAACATCTTAAAGTGAGACAATAATTTATGGACGACCTTTGAGTGACGTTGAAGGGACATTGAGAGTCTCTACCTACTTACTAGAACCACACGAGGGTTATAAACTTGTGTGTAAGGACTTAGGATTATGATTTACAATTAATGATTAGAGGTTAGGAATTAGATTTAGGGTTGTTTTTTCATCATGAACTGACATCAACTTAAATGCCGAAACTTTATTTAGGCAAATGGATGAATGAATTTCACGCCAAAATCCTAGGGATCTGTTATCTTATGTCTGATCGATACGTCCCATTTTTGGTAAAATCTGGAAATTATACAGTAAATTCTTCATTTGCAAAATATCCATTAATCGTTTCAAACTTGGTTGTTCTTTCGTTTTCAGACTAATGATTCACTGTCCTCATTCTCTAGTCTTTGATCGGCGAGACTATAATTTATGGACGAATTATTCAGGTTTAAGATAACAAGTCCCGGATTTCGGAGTGAGATTCATGCACTTCTTTGGTTAAAGCGTGCATGAAGGACAACTGACAGATGCATTCCAAGTAAGGACCGGAGAAAGACAAGGCTGTTTACTCGCCCCTTTCCTCTTTCTTTTGGTGGTCGACTGGATTATGAAGACCTCAACATCTGAGGGAAAACACAACATACAATAGACAGCTCAGAACCAATTAGACGATCTGGACTTCGCAGATGACTTAGTCCTCGTATCCCATACACACGAACAGATGCGCATGAAGACAACTCGTGTAGCAGCAGCCTTGGCATCAGTAGACCTCAACATACACAAAGGGAAAACCAAGGTCCACAAATTCAACACGGAGAACACCAACCGTAACACACTTGATGGCAAAACTCTGGAAGATGTAGAACCCTTCACATACCTGGGAAGCATCATCGATGAACAAGGAGGATCAGATGCAGACGTAAAGGCGAGGATTGCAAAGCAAATGCCGCATTCCTACGATTGAAGAACATATGGAACCTAAAAAACTGTCTGTCAACGAACATCAAAGTCACAAACTTCAATTCGAACGTCAAGACAGTTCTACTGTGTGAAGCTGAAACTACTACAACCATCATCAAGAAAGTACAAGTATTTATAAATAGTTGTCTACGCAAGATAATCAACATCCATTGGCCGGATACCAATCAGCAACAGCCTTCTGTGGGAGAGAACAAACCAGTTTTTCCAACTTAAGAGGAAATTAGGAAAAGACTATGGAAATGGATAGGACATACATAACGCAAATCATCAAACTCCATCACGAAGCAAGCGCTCACTTGGAATCCTGGAGGGAAGCGGAAAAGAGAAAGGCCGAAGGACACACTACGTCGGGAATCGGAAGCAGACATGAAAAGGATAAATAGTGACTGGAAAGAGCCGGAAAGGATTGCTCAGGACAGGGTTGGATAAAGAGTGCTTGTAGGTGGCCTATGCTCCTCCACGAGGAGTAACAGGTCTAAGTAAGTAAGTAAGTAATTTGGTTAAAGAGCATTTTGATATTTTTGACGATGTGATGAAAACCCTCTAAACCCAATTACTAACCTTAATCATCAATTCTAATTCCTCACACACTGATTTTTAACCTTCATTTGGTCCTTGTTATTAAGTGGACACTTTCAAGACCAGTCTAATGTCGCTCAAACGTTGTTCATAAATTATAATCTCACCTATTCATCTTCTTAATCCTCTACTCTGCCAGACATTTCATTTTCGATTAACAATACATACTACTTATATCTATCAACATTAGTAGTACATACTACAAGATAATTTATATATTTATATTTATATTTTCACAGATTGAACTCATGAGTCAGTTGAAGCTAGACCACCATTGAAAACCTGGAAGCACTGGACGGCCGTTTCGTCCTAGTATGGGACTCCTCAGCAGTGCGCATCCACGACCCCGCACCACCCGGGGCTCGAAACCAGGACCTACTGGCTTCGCGCGCGAGCACTTAACCATTTATATTGTGGATCTATAGAATGGTTATAGTCGATTAGATGTTCAAGTATGAAACCTCTAACTGCTTTCCTTTCACCCTTATAGAACCAAGCTGGGATATGTTCCCGGTCGCTTTCAACTCGGATACGGGAACATATCTCGACTTGATTCTATATAGGTGAAAGGAAAGCAGTTAGGTGTTATATTTATACATTTATATAAAACATAAACAATCTTGTTATCTTAATTTTATTTTGTATACAATCAAATGTATATATGTATATATTCATACAATAAGAATAGAATGGATATTTTTGTTACTATGCTTGATTATATAATTAAATATTTACAATAATAATAAGAATATGAGTAAAATTTAATGAGTTATGTAAGACAAACGAAAAAAAATATACATTTTAAGGTTTCAATTATAATAAGTGAGTGAGGGAGTGGGTGAGTGGGTGGGTGAGTGAGGGTCAGTGAGTAACAATGAGTAAGTGAGTGAGTGAGAGGGGAGGGAATGGTATATTTTGAAAAGGTTCACCCTGTTTTCTTAAAGTTTTTCTTTTTTTAAAAAAAAAAAACAGAAAAAAAATGAGAGAAAAGAAATGCACAATTATCAAATCTTACAAATACTGATTGAATAGTCATTTATTGTTTCTATATTGATGTTACACAAAACCCCTTCTGATAATAAACAAGTTAACAAAAATATATAGAAAGAAAGAAAATGAAACAATCCAATGTTTATTTATTATGTCATCATCAGAAAGAAGGGGTTTGTGTGTATGTGTGGATATGATCATCATTTCAATAGGTAATATGACGAATCTATTGAAACTTGAATAGTTAGTTTGCCCTATTGTTTAACTCTACAATTATAACTTTAGATTAGAAATCTTGTCAATGTACTTTATTTAGAATAAAATCTCCCATTTAATCATCATATGGACCTTTTCTATAATGTTCTCATATTCAATGGATCATTAATGATTGATGAATAGAGAATAAAGAATAAAAGAAAAGATGTTACGTCATCGTGTTTTTTTTGTTGGTGTTTTTCTTTTTTTTTTTTGTAAGTGTCATCATGATATTGAATTAGAGGAAGAAATTGAAAATCAAAAACAAAAAAAAACGAGGAAAGAAAAAAAAAGAAGAAAACTCATACCAAAAATATATTTATCACCTTAGCAACTAAACAAATAAATGAACTAGGCATGAATATCACTAAACGTTATCCAAGAAACGATTAAAGGAAATAAACGGTTACTATGGCATATGTATTATTATTCACTATTAATATATTGATTCATTCTATTCAATGGATTTATATAAGTGTCTATATGAAATGTGTATTACATAATTATAATATACTTTTTATATGAATAGATTCAATGAAATATGCAAATATTCAAAAGAGGAGATGAGGAAATTTCATGTATCGTGAAGTTTTGTATGAACCGCCCGAAAATTTTTTAAAATTTATTCAAACACATATGAGAAAGATATGAAACATTATTTAGAAGAATATATGTATATATATATGTATATATATGTATATGAATTCCACCTGGAGGACCTCTGGAACTACTGTCAGTCCTAAGCTCGGATAAAAAAGAAGGTGTGGGTTGAGCATAAAGTTAGTGACTCTATCTCATATAGAATACTAACACACTGTAGAATACGCTAATTCGAAAAATAGATGAATATGAATAATCTATACTGATGATGATAATGATGATGATGTTAAAGAGAAATGGTTAGTTAGTTGCTTGTTTGTTTAAAGATGATTCATTTTGGATGTGTTATTGTTGATTTATATAATGATTGTTCTCTTTATTTTTTTTTATTTATTCAATTGGATCATCAGCTAATAGCATAGCTTTAAGTTGACTATCTTCCATACATCCTTTCATAAATTCTTCACGTGTTAATACACCATCACCATTTTCATCCATTTTTTCAAATATTTCTTCAGCTCTAGCTTCTGGACTAATATCCACAGCTGTATTATCTGTACCAAGCATTGAATAAATAGCCTAAAATAAAGTAAATCAATAGTATATATGATAGAATGTCAAAATAGAAATAGAAGTACTTTGTAATGATTTTGTTCATGAATCACTTATATAAGTATTATTATATCAAACCTCAACGAGGTTATGAAAAAGATGAATAACAACTGTAAAGAGCTGGAAAGGATTGCCCAGGATAGGGTTGGATGGAGAATGCTGGGGAACGGATTATACTCCTTCACGAGGAGTAACAAGCGTAAGGAATTAAGGAAGTAAGTCAACGAAGTTTGATATCACAAAGCAATAAGAAACGGTAACTACAGTTTTATTAGAGGATAACACAGCTCATAAAGCGACGATCACATTGAGGGGATTTAAAATAGACAGGGGAATATGTGTATGTACGAACAAATACATAGGCAAACATATCGTCATATCACATAAGGGCATCAGTAAGGCAAATCAAGGACTAATAATAATAGGATTTGCGTACCTATATACTTAGAGAAGAGAATGAATCAACGAGCAATATTTAAAGGATCAACATTTGAACTAGAGTCTATCATATGATCTAGTGATCATAACAATACAAAGAAATATGTGTATTGTCTGTTAAGTAATTTAATATAAAGGGTTTAACTGAAATGAACCATCATCGAAATGAGATTGCAGAAGAGTTGCTATCAATTAGATGATATGACTAATCATAAAATTAACCATACCATTCTACAGTGTATATTGCTTTGTAGTGATATACACAATACTGGAGATTTCTAGCTTAGTTAAATAGCGATGGAATTGTCTGGTTCCCTAATTTGAATGTTTTAATCATGGAGCTTTCATTTTCATTATTCTCTGGTAAGTGACATCGTCAGGAATGAAAGTTTCTTTTATAAATTGCCTTTTATATTACTTTTGGAATAAGTAAGAAACTTATTTCGATACAGAATAGGAGCTAATTTCTTTTCCTAATTAGGAAGAAGCGCTGGAAGCCGATAGAACACACATTGAGGAAAGCACACAACTACGTCACAAGACAAGCCCTCACATGGAATCCTGCGGGCCAAAGGAAAAGAGGAAGACTGAATAGCACAGTACGTCGAGAAACGGAGACAGACATGAGAAGAATGAACAACAATTGGATAGAATTAGAAAAGAAGGCCCAGGACAGAGTGGGTTGGAGAATGCTGGTCGGTGGCCTATGCTCCATTAGGAGTAACAGGCGCAAGTAAGTAAGTAATTTTTTTTCCTAGGATAGAAATGAAAGCTACATGATGAAACGATTTAGCTTAAAAATCTCAACGACCCATATACATATACTGTTGAGGAGTCTCATAATAGGATGAAACGGCCGTTCAGTGCTTCTAGATTTTCTATGGTGGCTTAGCTTCAATTGACTGATGAATCCAACTAAAAAATTACTAAAATCTTCACAAAACCCTCTTCTCATAATAATCATCATGTGCTTACTAGTGACTTGCTTCAAGAGGTATTTCCTGGAGTTCTAGTGCGAAGCTATGATTAGTAAAGTTCAACTAGGTCTTTTATGAGATAGTAACTCACGGAAGACAATGGTGGATGGTGGCTCAGTTTCGTGGATTGGTTCAAGTTAGACATTAACACTGTGAGAGAAGACAAACAGACACTTAACTTGCTCTGGGCTTTATTGTCTGCATGAACTGTTGGTGTTTGTATTAAATGAATCTATTGTTCAATCTATACTTTATCTCTATTTTTAATCAAAAATCATGTGACTAGTGTAACGTGACCGTTGTCTACGTATAACTAATTAATCAAGTATCCAGTTTAGTGACAGTAAAATTTCCGATACGAATCATATATCCCTCGAGGCGGGATTGTAGATGAGCACTGTTGAAGAGTCCCACAATAGAACGATTCGAACGTCCAGTGCTTCCAGGTTTTCAATGATAGTCTATCAGTAATCGGCTCATGATCTTAATCAAAAAGCAAATCATATAATTGTATTATCTCAGTAAATGGAAGTATTATTTTTCGTTTGTAATTAAACTAACAACCATCATACAATAGGATATACGACAATACTAAGCTAAACTAAACCATTAAGCTTATAACGTATGTGTAAATCTTTTAGTCATGGTTCATTTATCGAAATATGGCACGGAATAAGGAGTTAAGGTTAAAGGTATTCATCTAGACATGGTATCAGTTATGATGTTAGAATCTTGAGATTCATACCTTGATCATAATTTCTAAAACAAAAAGTTCTAAATTTATCATTACCGTCTTGTAACTGGCTGAACAGATTTAGATCACAATGTTGTTCAGCGATACAATCCATCATTGTCTAGTGAAAACAAAATTTGACAGAAGTAATAAACACAACTAACTCCACCTTGAGCCGCTCTGAGGTTACCACCGGCCCCAAGTACGGGTAAAAGAGGAGGGTTGGGCACGGGGTTAGCGACCACATCCCGTAGGAAACTAACCCGCTAAAAAAACGCTAACCATAAAAATAAATAATTCAAACCATTGAAATTGTGCCCTGGGAATTGGAAGGTCTTCATTTAGAAGAGTTATGATGCCTCTTTGTGAAAGCTGAGTTCCTTCGGTATTCAGTAGTCTGATTCTTCTTCTGACAACCAGAGTGACCATTAATTTAGATATATTAAATGTTCGTACAATGTGCAAGACCAGAAGAGTCTTTCAAATTGCTGCAGAATAAACACAAGTTTCCACAGACCTATTAGTTCTTTCAGAAAATAAAACAGAAATATCTTTTCTTAGATCAAACAATAACCATCATGTTAGCCATACCCTAGTACTGTTGATCAATACTTTGACCACTATGGTCTCTAAAAGAGATGAGTATGTGTTGATTTCCATACGAAAATCAATAAAATTGCTATCTCAATGCTAATTGATCTAAAGAGACAATCTGGTACGATTTTCCCCTGATATCTTCTAATCAATGGGAAAGGATCATTTTGTGAAACTAATCTAATAGAAGACAATGTATATTTGACAAATTAAGAAGTAAGCAAGTTGGTTTTAGTTTCCGTAACAGCAACAATCATTGAAATGTATCCTAGATATAGTGGATAACTTTAAGAAGGAAAATAATCTTAATATAAGTTTTCTATTTTTCAATGGTTAAGATCATGAGTCATTTGAAGGTAAACCACTATGGAAAACCTGGAAGTACTGTACGGCCGCTTCGTCCTATTGTGGAACTCCTCAGCAGTGCGCATCCACAACATCTCCCCCTGCGAGACTCGAACTCAGAACCTACTGGTTTTGCGAGCGAGCACTTCTTTTAAACTAATTGTACTAATACTTTTAGATGTTGTATTACTTACATTTATTTCACTTTAACTAATCTACTTATTTCACTGATTGTGAATTACTCAAAAGTACACACACACACAAACACATACGAACATCCATAATAGATTTACACTTAAATCAAAACTTTAATCATTCAATCAAAAGATTTCAATCAACATTTTAAACAAATTTCCATGATTTATGTTTGAGGTAGTCAATTCCCCGTTGCCATTGGTTACCGACGATAGTCACTTATGCGAGAGAGAGAGAGAGAGGGGGGTGAAGATAGAATAGAAACATGAATTTCATAATCGTTTAACTCTATGTAATCTAAGCAAATAGATATCAACCCCCTCCTTCTAATCATCTGCAGTATAATTTTCAACTTTCAGTATATTTTAATATTGGTTGTTGTTAGTGATTACAATAAAACTTATTTGTTGTATCCTGTTATAAGTTGTTAAGAGAAAGAGAGAGGGGGGGAGAAAATTGGAGATTTTTATATGGTACAGTGAATTAATCAACTCACTTATAAGTTTTAGTTGTCATTCAAGAAACATAGTTTATAACATCCCTATAACTGTATACATATATACTTGTCAGTTTATTCAGAACAATATCCGGTTCCTGTGAATTCCCATTTATTTTTTTGTTATTTTATCCAAGTATTCATTGTACTATTGTATTCTGTTCATTCTATATACATAATATGACGAGAACTTTGGAATATTTGGAAGTTGTTTGGTCAGTAATGATGATTCTCTATGTAGTTAGTTGAAGTTAGACTTTAACACTGTTGGATGCCGGCTCGCGCGCGAAACCAGTAGGTCCTGGGTTCGAATCTCTTAAGGGGTGAGGTCTTGGATGAGCACTGCTGAGGAGTCCCACAATGGGACGAAACGGCCGTCCAGTGCTTCCAGGTTTTCCATGGTAGTCTAGTTTCAACTGACTCATGATCTTAACCATTGAGATATTTTGATTGTAATGAATGATATTTTGTTTATTATATTACGTTAGCTACTTGTTAGTAGTGTTGAAATTTCTTTGTAAAAAGTTAAATATGATGGGGTTTTGTTCTATGAGCTGGATTATTGATTTATATGTATACATAAATATTGGTACAAAATCGGGCACAGAATACATATACGCCACACAAGCCTCTGGATTTGTGTGTGGGCTGTGATAATGCTCGGGTACCCAGAAAAACGTAGGTGGTTTTCTTAGGAGGACACACTCGAAGCCTTCGACCTAAAGGTCTAATCCATTAGGCAGTGGAGCAATGTCAGAAGAAGGAGTCCCATGGTAGCCTGTGTCCAATCATCGGTTCATAAGCCAATTGTTTTCTTAGGATCCTGGAACACATATTCACCATTGGTCTGGAATCAGGATTTTCCATCTCCACTAGGTGGACTTTCCGTATCCACCAATCCGGTTAAAGCACTGGATATTCACTTTTCGTCCTCTCAATTTCGTAAACAACGATTCTGCATTCAGAAGGCAGTGAATCGGACTTCTGTGATACTGGCTGTACTTGTGGTCATGTGAAAGCATTTGGTGAAGGACAGCCAACTCCCCCCACCCTCAACTGTACTAGGGCATTTATGGGTTTGAGCTGGCTGGTACCTGGAGGGTAACACAGAGAGAAGTTTGTGCTGGTGCTATCGTTCAGAATAATAATGAAACCTTCACAAACAAGCCGGCTACCATACCATGTTGATAGCACCGGTTCTCGTCCACAACCAAACTATCCAGTTCATAAAACAATACTCTATCAAAATCATCCACCGATGCCTAGTTATAAAACAACTATCAGTACAAAACAATCTAATAACAATAGAAATTATAGATTCTATTTTAATAATTAACACCCACATATTGAACTTGTCACTTGTAGTGAAAGGAATAAGTTCAATTTACACACATACATGTATACTAGGAGTTGGGCTGGTGTTATGAGTTAGGATTATCATTCCACAGACCTTACATCATCAATCGACATTAGTTTTGATGCAATAAGATTAGAGTTAAGGTTTTCATATTAGGGTCAAAGTTTTCAATACAAACTGATAATGGGTATAATGTAATTCTTTGCCAATGAATAGTAACTGTTGGAGTCTATTTCTGTACTAATACTGTAGTAAACAAGAACACAACTGGGGACAATTGAATGTATTTAACATGAAATTACAGAGCATCTCATTGTTCATGCATTTTCATACTAATTGCGTACCGTTTCTATTCTTTCCTTCTTGATCTTCTACTGAAATACTTCGTATGCCTGACCACCATTATATACTACTTATGTGGATATAAGTAACGCACACCATAATACTATACATATATTTCTATTGTATAATTGTTAAGTAACTAAACTATTCATAATCATGTCTCTCTTATTCTAAGCTTTATTTTGATCTACGAACTATTATTAAACGATTTACCATTCTTAAGTTATGCCCAGTCTGTTGATTACTGTCTCCCACATTCACAGCCACGTTTAGCTAGATCTTGTACAAATGTTATTATATTTTAATAGCTGAGATTATGAGTCAATTGAAGCTAGAACACAATAGAAAGCCTGGAAAAACTGGACAGCCGTTTTGTCCTACTATGGAAATTCCTCAATATTGCATACCCACGAATCCACCTTGCGAGATTCCAACCCAACGTTTATCAATCACGCACGCAAGTGCTTAATCTCTGGACTGCTGAGCTGGCCGACATCCAGCAGTGTTAATATCTAATTGATTCATGATTTCAACTATCAAAATTACTACAATATCTAAAAAAAAGCCCTTCTAGCAAATGTTATTTTCTATTTTATGGTGTAAGGTGATCTGTTTAGTTTGTAATATAAACCCAATATATTTGAAATATATGATACATATTGTGGAAGCGAAGATTGGTTTTCTAGACTTAACAGGAAGGAAGCAACACCGATAAATACTCTAAACTGTTTGTTATATTTCTCACTTACGGTTATGACCCATCTATTCCTATTGCTTAATATTCTTGGATACCAAATCATTCGACAAGTCCCCAAATCAGATCACAGTTGAACAGGAAAGAGATTATATTCCAAATAACAAGATTAGATGGAAGCAAGAAGCAAGTCAGTAGTTCAATAGAGAAAACGTTAGTATATTTATAGTTTTTCATATGAGGAGATTTCTAGAGTGTTCACTAAGTATTGAGTAACGCTGACTGGATAAGAATCAGCCAGATGGAAGCCAAGAAGCACAATAGGGAAAACGTTAGTATTTTTATAGTATTTACATGAGACGATTCTAGAGTATTCTCCAACTATCGACTAGTGCTGATTGGATAAGAATTAGTCAATCAGCGTGCACAAAAGCAATCGTGCATTGAGCATACTTAATCCAGTCTATGTCCCGCTAACACTGTTCGTACTTGTTTCATGCATTATTGACTCAATCGATAAGCTATTGTTCTCTAATTGACAATATCATTACATTATACATTGATAGGGAGCACAAACAAGTTATAACATTAGTAAATTAGTCAAGGTGAACAAAACAATAAAAGGTAAATCAGTAGTTCGGATTTTGTTTCCTTTTTTCACATCAACTCATAGGATACAAGTACATCCAACTGATGAGTCTCAAATAGGACGAAACATACATCAAAGTAGATTCCACTACTAGACATCATTATTCATCTTTGCTTTGAAAAAAAAAGAGAAGCTTGTCACTCAAGTTTATATCAAATCAATCTGTACAAGAACTTACTCGAATAATTTCAACCATTTCAGTTCGTTCTATAGTACCATTACCATCAATATCATACATTTGATAAGCCCATTCTAATTTCTCTTCTGGATCACCACCTGATGTTATATTAATAGCTAATAAAAATTCTTTAAAATCAATTCGACCAGAATTATCTTTATCAAATGTACGAAATACATGTGTACAAAATTTTTCCGCATTACCATCAGGGAAAAATCCAGAATAGACTTCAATAAATTTTTTTTTACTTAATTGACCTGATGGACAATCACGCTGTGAAAGATAAAGAAAGAAAGAAAAGTAATCAAAACAACAACAACTATACATGATATGAGTGTTGTTAAAGGTATAATGATGTTGTCTATCATTTCTTGGTTGTTTACACTGTGGAAGAGTTCTTCTGAAGGTGTTGCATTGATTATAAGCAATTTCTAAGTTGTATCTTTTCATTTCTACACCAATTTGAATGATTCCCTTAATCTTCTACATTGTACAAACATTCCATGTATTTAAATTAAAATGGTTGCTCTGGTTGTCAGAATAGGAATCAAACTCGTGAATTCCTAAGGAACTTGGCTTTCATTATGAGGCATCATAACTCTTCTAATTCCCAGGGCAGAGTTTCAATAGTTTGAATTATTTATTTTTCTGATTAGCGTTTTTTTAAGCGAGTTAGTTTTCTACAGGATGGAGTGGTTAACCACATGTCCAACCCTCCTACTTTATTGGAAACTTGGACCGATAGTAGCCACAGAAGGACTCAAGGTGGAGTTCGTATATACACATATATATATATATATATATATATATATATATATATATATATATATATATATATATATATATATCATTGTTTTCGGGATACCAGTAATGAAATCTTAACCCAGATCCCTACTTTTTTTGTAGTGATTATACAGGAGAACCATCTCATGGTAATCAAATTGATTCAAATTTGATCCTTAGTTCGTATACTTATCAGTTTTTATTGATTTTTTTGGTAGAATAAGATAAATAACTCAGGTTGAATTGATTTGGAATATTGAGCATTTACATTCAAAGTTAAGAAACGACAAAAAATCCCATTAGATCTTGTTCAACTAAAGAAAAAACAACCCAGAAGCGAGACTATAATTTATGGACGAACTAATCAGGTATAAGATAACAGATCTTGGATTTTGGCACGAAATTCATTCATTCATTTGGTTAAATAGCTTTTTGCCCTTATAGCTGATGTAGGCTGGACAACAAAGACTAGCTTCAGGGGAGGTGCTGTTATACTCCTAAGTATATATATATATATACTGGAACTATCGGGAATAATAATTTCTCTGATGGACTCTCCAATACTTAGAAGCACAATGGATAAATTGTCTGACATTTGAGTCCCAATATGAATACTAACAATGAAGTATGCCGGATCTATTCAAGTAATGAGTCTTGAATAGTACATAACATACATGGTACATTCCATTGATAATCTTAATCTATCTATTATAACTGAACAAAAAGTAGTTTCACAGTATACGAACTGAATAAAATAATTTTTGATAAAATTTATATCAGATAAGTAGATACAAATAGTTGTTTTTTTCATTAGTAATCTCATTAATTATATTACTATGATATGTGCTACTGATATCAACAGTTATAAGTAGTATATATCATCAATTGAAAGTGAAATGTCTAACGTTAGAATGTTAAGAAGATTTAAGAATAGTGAATGAGAACAGAGAAATTATTGGCGTGGAAATGAAAGAACAACGAAAGTCTGAGACTGGATGGTTCTTAGATTTTACTAAAAGATTATGTACAGGTATTTATAAATAGTTGTCTACGCAAGATAATCAACATCCATTGGCCGGATATCAATCGGCAACAGCTTTCTGTGGGAGAGAACAAACCAGCTTCCAACTGAAGAAGAAATTAGGAAAAGACGATGGAAATGGATAGGACATACATTATGGAAATCACCAAACTACATCACTAGATAAGCGCTTACTTGGAATCCTGAAGGGAAGCGGAAAAGAGGAAGGCCAAAGAAAACATAACGTCGGGAAATAGACGCAGATATGAAAAGGATGAATAACTGGAAAGAGCTGGAAAGGATTGTTCAAGACGGGGTTCGATGGGGAATGCTGGTGGGCGGCTTTAACCCACTCTACGAGAAGTAACAGGCGCAAATAAGTAAGTAACGTAATTTTTGGTGATGAAATATATTTGGTTGTTCCTCAATTGTGTTCTTGTTCATAAAATTACCAGCATATTAGTAAATAAACAAGATTCCCCAAGAGAATATATTTATTTGTTTTTTTTTGGTTATTACAATCGTAAACAATCTATGTATATCAGAAGGGATTTTGTGGAGATTGTAGTAATTTCTATAGTTGAGATTATGAGTCAATCGAAGCTAGACCATCATGGAAAACCTGAAAGCACCGCTAAGGAGTCCTACAATAGGACGAAATGGCCTTCCAGTGCTTCCAGGTTTTCTATGGTGGTCTAGTTTCAATTGACTGATAATCTCAACTATTGAAATGTATGTATAGTTTATTAAACTGTTTATTAACTTACTTCTTATATTAGTAGTTAGGTCTTGTTTAGCATCAATAAATGATCAATAATATAATGTAAGAACTGAACTACTATGAATTGAGCTGTAAAGTTTATATCTCAATTTTGTTGTTCAGATAAATTCTAATGAAGTTAATCTAGGAAAACTCTCTTTGTAAACTATTCTAGGAATAGATGAAACACTGGATCACATATATCCACACTTGGTATTCTCTCAAATTCTAATAGTCTGAATTCGTTATGTCCCTTCTCAAATTTACTACATTGGAATATACTCTTTGAATAACATCTTCAAACCCTAATGTTTCCGATTACTGCTTATAATTTTACTATCTCTAGTACTATGAGATTTGAATGGACAATTGTATCTCTGTGCTAATATGATATGACAACTTAAACTGATGTACGTATATACGAAGTTCTACGTTGATGCTGACTAACTGACTGAGATAACTGAACAAAAAATAGTACTCTGAGAGATTCCATACTAGGACAAAACGGCCGTTCACTGCTTCTAGGTTTTGAATGGTGGTCTTGAGTGCTGTACGAGATATGAAGGTGTTTATCACTTCCCAGTTGCTTACACCATGTAAGGGTGTTCCTGGAGGTACCTGAAAGGAAAGTTGGATTAAAGATGGTCTTAGTGACTCTGGATCGTAACTGCAGTGCCTAAGAGAAAATTGCTTGAGGTCAGTCACACACGCCATTTTTGTAGGTAATCTTCGTGTTAGCTCCGTAATTGTTGAGACCTTACCACCGAAGACGGAAATCCATGGGATAAGGTGAGGTGAGTATTTTTACGGTCGACCTTTTTGAACTCAACCACTCCTTGTGGTGAAGCAGCATCAACGTTATTCTGGTTGTCTGAAGGAAACAGCTTACTGCCGTCAAACCTCTGAAAAGTCAGCAGTACGACTTCGTATTCAAAATTTGGGTTTGCTACTTTTAGTCTTATCGTTCTTTAACCGACCTATCTGGCATGGTAAGACCTTGAGGAACAATTGTCCCAGCCGATATAGCTCGATTGGTTCATCACGATAGACAAGCTCGACCATCACGTCAAAGTAGCAACAAAGGTCGGTCTAGCTTAAATCGACTCATGAATTCAACTATTATATATATATATTGATCTTCAACTGTCACACGATCATATCTGTTGCTATAGAGTTTTGACTTTCATAGAGGATAGAGAAACCCTCTTCAATATCCCTACTTTTCCCTTACATTTGATCTCGCTCTGTTATTCATAAGTGTTTTATATTTGTTTAGAAACCTAATCTGTCTGGTTGATATACATTGTATTATATGACATAATAAGAATCGCTCAGTCGTTTAGAATCTGGAATTATTGTAGGCTAATCACAAGTTTAGTGAAAGCGAACACAAATGGGAACATAAAATCAAGCATAAATTTACAGAATCTCTTAGTAATATTTGAGAACCATACAGTGAATACTTCATTTGCAAAATGTCTATCAATCGTGTCAAACTTGACTGTTCCATTTGTAAATATCAGTCCATCGTCTCAGACTTCATTGTTCCTGGTATTTCCATACCAATTGCTATCTGTTCTTATTCTTCCCTCCTTGATCTTCTTGAGCTCCTGTTGCCAGATATTTTCATTCATGACTAGTGTTATATACTACTTATGTCGATATAAGTAGTATACAACACACTAGTAATACATATGAAAGTACTTTCATACACATAGTTGGCTAGACACTATCAGTAACAACCTGCTGTGGGAGAGAACAAACCAGATCTCAGTTGAGGAAGAAATCTGGAAGAAGCTCTGAAAGTGAATAGGACACACATTGAGGAAAGCATTCAACTATGTCACAAGGCAAGGCCAAAAGAGATGAGAAAGAAGAACAAAGAACACATTACTTCGAGAAATGAAGATCGACATGCAAAAAATGAACACCAATTGGACAGAGTGTGTTGGAGAATGCTGGTCGACAGCCTATACTCCATTGAAAGTAACAGGCGTAAGTAAGTAAGTTAGTAACCATAGTAAAAATGATTACTATTAAGTAAATTACTTAAAAAGAACTCAATATTTTATTCCATATTTAATGGTTTATAAACTGTTACACATTAAAAATTAAACATTAAACTTTCCCCCCCCCCTTCACCCTCAGTTTTTTTATTGTTTCTAAAAATAGTATGGTAAAAACTGAGATACTGAAACTGAGTACTACTAGTACTACTACTACTACTACTTCTACTACTACTACTACTACTACTACTACTACTAATAATAATAATAATAATAATAATAATAATAATAATAATAATAATAATAATAATAATAACGATTTGATTCTTTCCTATTCCACTCAATCTAATATTCTATTGCTAACTCTATATACATTAGGTATAGGGTAATATCTACTCTTTCCTACTTGTTTCATTCAACATCAATTCATGCAATTTAAGTATCCATGATGGTCTGTATATGTGTATCCATGTAGAAGTAGTTATGTATGTATGTATGTGTGTGTGTGTGTCTCTGTGTGTGGATATATGTGGGGGATATAAGATTTCAATCATTAGGGTTAGGTATATTGTAATATGTAATAATAAAAAAATGCAAAATTCTTTTTTTTTCTGTTTTTTTTTATACAGTAACTTGTCCACCGGAAATGGTTGTTACTACTCTCACTATATACATACATATATTTATGTATATATAGTAAGATTTAATTACTTACTACTTAAATAAAGTACATAAAGTAGTATATCCAAGTGACATAAATAATAAAAAAAATAAAGAACATTAATGGATGAAATATATTGTATCTCAGCAGCAACAACAACAAGAAAAATCGATAAAAGGTATAAAATTTAGGGGAAATTTTGTATTCTATCCCACTCAGTAACTAATCTACTCAATTAGTTATTCATTATAATAAAAAAAAATTCCATTTAAGTTATTTTTTTATATTTTTTTTAATGAATAATAATCAATAATTAGATAGATAAATAAATAAGGAAATGATTCAATGAACAGATTAGTTAATTGATTGATAGAAGATTGTTCATATGTAAAGAGACTAACTATCTTGTTGTTGTTGTTGTTGCTGTGGTTGTTGTTGTTGTTGTTGTTGTGGTGGTGGTGGTTGTTGATGAAATCAACCATAAAATGTCATATGATTTGAAGTATTTATGATTATTATCTTTTATCTTTTTTTTGTTTTGTTTTACCGACTAGGTTGACTGTTGTTAAGGGATATTGTTTTATGATTGAAATCAAAAAAAAAAAATAAAAAAAATGGTAATATAATTGTGTCAGCTGACAACATACGCCCTTCATGGGAAGTGAGGGAATGAGTTGGGGTAAAGAAGAAGTAAACAGTTATTTTTCTAATGGTATATAATTAAATAATGTCTATGGTTAAATTTATTTAGTGTTGTTTTACTTGTGTTTCTCATTGTTATTTAGGATTTGGTATATATGCATCTTATTAGCTTTATGGCTATATGGCTATATAGAGCTGAAGGTCTCATATGAGGCTGGAGGTTCGCCAATGTTATTGTGGACGGTTCGGCATTGCTTTGGCAAGTTTTGCTGACTGTTCATACAAAAATTGGTTTGCTGGTTAACCGATTTCATTCATACTGGTGTTCCCGAGGGCCATTGTCATTGGGACATTGTAAGGCATGCCGCCATTGCTAATATTAACGAGTTTGACTGTCGTGTAAGCGGAATGGGTCAACTTTGGCCTGTTCGTGCTGTGCATAATTGAATCACGCGATCATTGATCGGAATAACTATACATGTGATGTGAGTGTGTATATGAATGGTGCGAATGGTCCACCAGGGTTCTTGGTACCTGTGTCGTTGCGCCACAGGATTGAGCTGTATTATTCAGATTGTAGTGTTAAAGCCTGTACGGTGTCTGATTCCTCTGCTAAACGAGGTTGAGCTGTACTGTTTGGGTTTTTACGTGAAAGTTTGGATGGTGTCTGGTTCTCCTGAAAACCAATGTAAAATTACCCTGGCCCACAAGGGTATATTATATAACTATGAACAAACTGCTTGATCCTGCCAGTAGTCATATGCTTGTCTCAGAGATTAAGCCATGCATGTCTAAGTACATACCTTAAAACGGTGAAACCGCGAATGGCTCATTAAATCAGCTATAGTTCCTTAGATCGTAAATACTACATGGATAACGGCAGTAATTCTAGAGCTAATACATGCCTTGAATATATGCATCTTGTTCAGATTGTTTCGATATAGCCTTAAGTCACAAGGTTTTTTAAGCAAAGATGGATAGTGGCTAGTAGTGAAATCCAGGATATGCGTTTCGTCATATTTGAGTCTAGTCAGCTGAATGTACCTATACCATAGAGTTGATGTTCACTATGAGACTTGAACCCAGTACTGTTTGTGTTTATTACTAGTCAATTACGGAACAGGAATGTATTACTGTTGTTAAAAGATTGATGTAAAACACAGAAAAGAACACACATACATTGTTTCCTAGTAACTAATCTCCTAGAATGAATTAATATGTTGACATTATGTTCTATTTTAACAAGTTGAATAGTCATTAGAAATGAAATCCAGAAATTAATTAGGGTTTTGTCAGTTAAATGTGTTTGTCTCTTTAAAAATTAAAAGAACTTGACAACCTACTTGAATATCTAGACTATATATTCCTACCATCTAGATCTTTCAATCAGTTTACTGTTTCCTTATTTGTTTTAATAGATCATTATGTCAATCAATCGTATAACCTATTATGGTTTGTTTCTAAAATGTATACAACTTTTCATTGTTGAAATTATAATCGTGTCCAATCACAGATATTATGGTTACTAGTAATATACAACGAAAAGAATGTACATTATTTAGATATTGATTGACTGAACTGCTAACATCTAAACTAATAATCAATCAATATTTATCATTAAGATCAATCAAGAGGTACAAAATGAAAACTCTCTGAAGTATTATATATTGACTCATGATCTCAACTGTTGAAATTACTACAAACTACATAAAACCCCTCCTGATACTAATCAACATATGCTAACTAGTGACTGGCTTCAAGAGATATATCCTAGAGTTCTAGTGAGAAGCAGTGACCAGTGGATTTCAACCTGGTCTGTTGTGAGATAGTAACTCACTGAAGACACTGATAAATGTGTCGCTCAATTTCGTGGATTAGTTGAAGCTAGACATTAATACCGTTGGATGCCGGCTCAGTGGTCTAGTAGGTTAAGAGCCTGGCGCGAGACTGATAGGTCCTAGGCTTGAATCCTGTGAGGCGGGGTCGTGGATGCGCACTACTGAGGAGTCCCACAATAGGACGAAACGGCCATCCAGTGCTTCCAGGTTTTCCATGGTGGTCTACCTTCAAGTGACTCATGACCTCAACTGTTGAAATTACTACAATCACCACAAAACCCCTTCTGATGCCTGTAAGGAAAGCCTATAGGTGAATTTGAGGAAGCTCTAAGAAGCTCAGAAATAGCCAAAAATACTTCATCCAAACATCTTTTAAAAGAATATTCCCTATTGAACAAATGTTAATAATGGATTAGTGGACTATAATAATGATTCGGTTCTTCCTGTTCTATACTTAAAAGAAGGATCCTGACATTCAATTGCTCGAGTTTTATCAAATAATCTAAGCTCGAAATATAATAATGGCAAACATATATTACTGAATTAAGGCCCCCAAATGCGCTGGTACGGCCGGGAGTGAGGTGAGCACGCCTCCCTTCTCGAAATGCTCTCACACGGCCACGCGTATACAGCCTCTGCCACGGAAGTCCTACTTATTGCCTTCTCGTGGCGAGGATGTTGTTTACGAAATTGAGAGGACAAAAAGCCGAAATCCGGCGCATTAACCAGATCTCAAACCAATGGTGCACATGGACTCCAGTATTCTGAAGGAACAAATGGCGTATGAATCAATCGTTGGTCACCGGTTACCATTTGAGTACATCTCCTTACGATGCTCCTCTGTCTTGTTGGTCAGACCTTTAGGTCAAAGGCTTGGGGTGTGGCCCCCTAAGAAAACCACCTGCTTCTGTTTAGGCACCCGATCAGTACCACAGCCCACACACACATATGATGAGCTGAATAAGGCCATTCATAAACATAATAATAATAATAATAATAATAATAATAATAATAATAATAATAATAGTAGTATATAAACACTTACTATAAATCCATTATACCATTGTTTAATTTGTCGTTTAGTAAAATGTGTATTCTCTTTAAGAAATGTTAAATCTTCTCTTGATAATTTTTTTCTTGGTCCAACAAAATTTCCCATAATTTTGATTTAATAAAACAATCTATTCAAATAAAAGAAAAAAAGAAGAAGAAGAAAAAAGAAGAAAATGATCATTGAAATGATACATTTTATTTATGTAAACAAAAGAAATAAGCGGTAAGATTCTTGTTTATGAATGAACCAATCAGATTTAAGATAATATGTCTTGAATTTTGAGCGCGAAATTCATTTAGTTAAATAATGATTGAGACTATAATATATGGATAACCTTTGAGCGATGATAAAATAACCTTCAGGGTGTTTATCTAATAATTAGAATCAAATAAGGATAATGGCAGTGAATCATGGCCGGTAAGAGTAGAGGATATTCGTAGGTTACTAGTATTTGATCATAAGTGTCTTCGAAATATTGCTCGGATATCCTGGGACCATCGAGTAAGTAATGCAGTTGTTAGGAAACGGGTACTAGGTAAGGATGGCAAATCCATTGATGAAGTAGTGAAAATTCATCAGTTGAGATGACTGAGACACGTGTTACGTATGCTCAACCACCGACTGCACCGACGTGCGATGTTCAGTGGTATAGGAGTAGGTTGGAAGAAAGCTAGGGGCGACCAGAACAAAACATGGCACAAATTTATGAAGTCATTGACAAGTGGATTGAGCCATGTCGGTAGGTGTAGACTACCTGGTTGGGATCCGCGAGATGGTAGCAACCGATAGTTAGAGACCTTGAATGACATGGCTCAAAATCGCTTGCAATGGCACAGGTGCATACACTCTTTGTGTTCTCCCAAATTTTAGTCTTCTGTTTTCTTTATGTTCCTTTTCTTTTCCTCTTTCCAAATTTATTTCACTGGATTATACTCCCTGAATAACATCTTCAAACCCTAATCTTTCCGATTACTGCTTATACTCTTACTATCTCTACCACTATGGAATTTGAATCGACAGTTGTATCTCTGTGCTAATGTGGTATGGCAACTCGAACTGATGTACGTACGTACGAAGTTCTACGTTGTTAATGACTGACCGACTGTATATTTGATGGTTAAGGTTAGGAATTAGATTTAGGGTTTTCATCATAAACTGAGATTATCTTAAATGTCAAGACGTTATTTAGCCAAACTAATGAATGAATACTAAGCCAAAATCCGAGACCTGTTATCTTATACGTAATTGGTTCGTCCAATAAATTATAGTCTTGCCATTGGCATTGTAGCTAATATCAGTTCGTGATGAGTCTAATTCTTAACCATTAACCGTTAGTGTGATGTGTGCTACTGATATTTACAGATATAAGTAGTAGTCGAAAGTGAAATACCTGGAGGCAGAAAGTTAAGAAAATCAAAGAAAAGAGAACGACAATAGAGAGTGGTTGATGTGGCGATAAAACAACAATGAAGTATGAGATAATTGAATGACATTACTAGATGGTTCTCATATTTTACTAAGAGATTCTGTAATTTTGTCCCCCCCCCTCATATGTGTTCTCATTCACTACAATAGTAAGGCTTTTGGATAAATATTCATCACAAAACTAGAATTTTCTAGGTTCAGTCCTTAAGCAGTGTTTTACTTCTGTGTACTTCTGTGAAGACCTATACTAGAGTAGAACATCTAATCTCAATGCTTGATGGTTTTTAATGGCCTCTCAACTGAAATCAATCTATAGTAAACATAATTTACAGATTAAATTAATCGATACAGAAACTACTTAATAAAAGATTTCAGTAGACATAATAATCACAAGGCAATACTTGCCTTTATTAAGATTTCGGCTACCATTTCCTTGAAGTAAATAAATACCATTCCAATATTTGTTGATGGGGAGGTGGAGAAGTATGGGGGTGGGGTGGAAATGACAACTAAATTAACCATAAAGTACCATAAAATAACAATCTATCATTGTCTAATTCATTTCCTTTTAAACGTTGATATCATTTATACATAATATACTATGAGTTATTTCTTATATCTCTTAGGTATTCTATTCTATATAATTAAGGTTATAACTTTTAATAACATAACTCCGCCTGTAGCTCTTTTAGAGTTACTGCCGTTTCCAAACCCCGGGTAAGGGAGGAGGAGGGTTAGGCCTGGTGTTAGCGACCTCATCCTGTAGGAAACTATCTCGCTAAAACAAACGTTAACCAGAAAAAAATAATTCTGTCAACTTCTACTAACATAGAAATCATTACCATTAATAGTTATTGTTCTAGAAATTAGACCGGAAATATTAATTACATTTGATTCACATTATTATGTAATATGAAATTACATTGATTAATTGTATATATATATATATATATATATATATATATATATATGTTAATGATTTAGAAAAAGATCTTGTCTGAGAATCTCGCTCACAGGATTCGAACCCAGGGTGTTCGATCTCCAGTGTAGATAGGAGGACATTATGGAAACTTCTTCGACACTACGGAGTTCTTGAGAAGATTATCAACATTATCCGGAACTCATAAGACGGACTACACTGCAAGGTCGTGCATGGAGGACAGCTGATAGATGCATTCCAAGTAAGGACCGGAGTCAGATAAGGCTGTCTACTCTCTTCCTTGGTCTTTCTTCTGGTGGTCGACTGGATTATGAAGACCTCGTCATCTGACGGAAAACACAGCACACAATGGAAACCTCAGAAGCAATTTGATGATTTGGGCTTCGCAGATGACTTAGCCTTCCTATCCCATACACACGAACAGATGCGCATGAAGACAACTCGTGTAGCAGCAGTCTCTGCATCAGTAGGCCTCAACATACACAAATAGAAAACCAAGGTCCTCAAATTCAACACAGAGAACACAAACCCAAACAAACTTGATGGCGAAACTTTGGAAGATGTAGAATCCTTCACAAACCTAGGAAGCATCATCGATGAACAAGGAGGATCAGACGCAGACGCAAAGGCGAGGATTGTCAAAGCAAAGGCCGCATTCCTACAATTGAAGAACATATGGAACTCAAAAAACTGTCTGTCAACCAATATCAAAGTCAGCACCTTGAATACGAACATCGAGACAGTTCTACTGTACGTAGCTGAAACTTGGAGAACTACAACAACCACCATCAAGAAAGTACAAGTATTTATAAATAGTTGTCTGCGCAAGATACTCAACATCCATTGGCCGGATACTATCAGCAACAGCCTTCTGTTAGAGAGAACAAACCAGCTTCCAACTGAAGAAGAAATTAGGAAAAGACTATGAAAATGGATAGAACATACATTACGCAAATCACCGAACTGCATCACGAAGCAAGCCCTAACTTGGAATCCTGAAGGGAAACTGAAAAGAGGAAGGCCAAAGAACACATTACGTCGAGAAATAGAGGCAGATATGAAAAGGGTGAATAGGAACTGGAAAGAACTGGAAAGGATTGTCTAGGACAGGGTTGAATGGAAAATGCTGATGAGCGGATTTTGCTCCTTCACGAAGAGTAACAGGCGTAATTAAGTAAGTTAGTGTTCGGTATCATATACGAACGCTTAGTCTTTAGACCACTGAGTTGATATATAACGGTGTTAATGTCTAACCTCATCTAATCCACGAAATTGCTTGAACATCTTTTACCTTGTACTAAGATAGATACTTCTCTCTACTTGATATGGATTAACTTTACTGGTTATGATTTCTCACTAGAATTCTGAGCATTCCCTCAAGAAGCTAGTTTCTAGTGAGCATATGATAATTATCATTATTGGGTTGTGGATGGCAGCTCAGTAGTCTAGAGGTTAAGTATTCACGCACGAGACCAAAGATCCTAAGTTCGAATCCAGCTAGATGGATTGTGGATGCACACTAATGAGCAGTCTCATAACACAATGAAATGGTCGTCCAGTGCTTACAGGTTTTTAATGGCAATATAATATCTATCGATTTATGATCATATTCAAAAACTTAACTCGAAGATGGTCAACAGGAAACCACCATTTTATCTCAACATAGTGCACACAATATCGAGTTACCTAGACTAGTGGTCAGATTGCAACTTGGTGGATAGGATTCGATCTACACTAAAAAGAACCTGATATACATGACATTGATCACCTTCCAGTTATCAATCAATTGTAAATACATCTCAGTCCTACAGATCATTCGTGACCTGGATAACTCAGCAGTAACATTTCTGACTGTAAAGCTGTGTGACACGGGATTGAATCCGTCAGAGAGCATCAGTTCTCTCAAGAATAATACAACTACACCTTGCTGACGAGTGTCAAGTAGCACGAAACCCAGATATTTCCAATTTGAATATAGATCTTTCTTTCAAAATGAATGAATAGATATAAGTCCGAGAGAGAGCTATGAACAACAGTTCAGATTCTTCATCAGTTAACATACAATTCACACAAGATTTTATTGAAACCGTAGTTTCAATATCCATAGTGTAGTATTCAGAGTTATCAACTTCAGTTTACAATACAGCATAATTCATATTTGGTACCATTGTTATGTCATTTACTATGTTAAGCTCATATTACCTTATTCTAGCTTCTGGACAGGCTGATTTATCCATTCCACTTGAGTCACGTTTTGATATTGTTACGTATTCACTTATCAACTCGGACTGTTTCTTTATATGAGCATGTGTGTGTGTGTGTTGTGTATGCATACAACTTATCCTATTCATCACATGTCTGTAACTTATATTTATCTGACCATAAATATTGAATAACGTTTGGTTAAATGGAGTTGGCTTACATGCCTTGTCCAGTGCGCATCCTTTCATTTTGTTTCACTCTCCTCTATTCGCTTCGTCCCTCTGATTGTCTGTCCACATCAGTGACTGTACAAAATATAAGTATTCAAAACTTGATTCACATATTTAACTTATTTAATTCGGTTATTTACCAACGCAAGTTAAGTCGATAGTAATATACGAGAATAGCCAGAATATATATATCGATAACAATCATTCAGTAGCAAACATATGATCTAAATGGAATTAGATCACGAGCCACTAAACCATTTATGGCTTATAGTGCTTCGAAAACGTCATCACTTAAGTGAGTACTGTTA